GTGAGAATTAATTTTTTAAATTTATTTTAAAAATAAAAGAAGGAAAACGTATTAACAAACAGACATCCATTTACAAAATAGCATAGGAATAATACAGGCAATACAGAGTTACAGACAAAGTGGTAGGAAATTAACAATGGTTGTATTATATATTCATATCTTCAAAGTGGTTTCTCAGGAAAACAAATAGAGACATGCAAAATAGATCAAATAAGTAATCATAAACTGTTCCTTCCAGTAAAGTGATAGAAGTCAGTAGTACAACTATGTTAGCTATCCTGTATATATATACATACATAATTTCCCCTTCTTTCTTTTCTCTTTTCCCTCACCCCAGTTGCTCTTTACTTTTGAGCATTTTCCCTTCGTTATGGTGAGAATTAAAACAAATATTTTTGGTATTAAAACTCATCCATCCCAGAACTTACTTCATGGGATCATGACTTTAATTCATACATTGCAGGTTCAGGTTCTGTACGGTCCTCTGTATTTTTTTTTTCAGGTACCAGGAATCGAACTCACAACCCTGCGCTTGCCAGGCAGGTGCTGTGCCACTGAGCTAAATCCCCAGCCTGGTCCTCTGTTTTGACAGAGCACTTCAATTTGCCTTTTTGGGACTTTGTTGATTCATTTGTCTGAATTTTCACATATTATGCAACTATCAATCAGATATGGTTATTTCCCCTAAAAGTCAATAGTAGTTTAAAAATGCAATATAACTCTATAGAATTAATTTTTAGGGAAATATTGTTAGCAAAATGCATGTAGTGCATTGTCATAAAAACAATTTCATGGAATTTATTGAGCAGGCTCAGCTGCCAATTCCTTTATCTATAGTTGCTCCTTACACAGAGTACTTAGAATCATAGTTCCCTCAGGGTAAATTGCTCTTCAAATGTATCTTCAGTTTAATTCAGTGACACCTCTTCAGTTAAACTTCCTGCTTACCAACAACCACGGGATTACCATCTCACCTTCACTGCTAGTCAGATGGCTGTGTCACAGTGCAGTAAAGTGACCTTGTTGCCATTCAGCTGTTACAGGCTTAGGGTTGTTAGTGCATGCTGGAATAGCTTATCTTTTCCAGGTTCTCAGTATGCTTTGTCACATAGCCTTTGGGGCACTGGAACATAACGAGAAATGATTTTGTCTTACATTTGTCGTTATACTCCCTTAGAACCGGGCACCTCATTTAAAGCGTACATACATACCTTGTCTGAAATTCCCACACTTTCCCACTGAGGTCAGGCGTGAGGGAGGAGGAAAAACCTGTGACCGAGATGCAGGGTTGGGAGCGTGAAAGAATTTTTTTCTGTTTGTAAATATTACAACTGGTGAATACAAAGCAGAAAAAGTGAAAACATTTGGTCAGTAAATTGCTAACCTTTAGAGATATAATTGCTGCTAAAATAGAGTCCTTACACCTGAGGGCAATTGTGCCATCTTGCAAGTGAGATCTTGTGCCGTAAATGCAGTCGAACTAAATATAAATGCTGATTCACAAATTAATGTTGTCAGAGGAATGAGTGAAGTAGAGAAACTTTTAACCAGCAATGTTCCATTCTAAACTAAATAATGTGACAAGGCATAATCATCCATAATTTTTCTTGGCACAGAGGTTATATATTTTGGGTGTTTTTATATATTTTTTTACATTTACTTATTTATTTATTTATTTTTGTTTTTTGAGACAGGATCTCACTGTGTAGCCCAGGCTGGCCTCAAACTCATGGTGATCCTCCTGCCTCAGCTTACCAAGTTCTAGTATTATTGGTATGCAATGCCATGCCTGGTTTCTGGTTTTTTTTCCAAAGGAAACATTTTAAATCTCACAAATCAGCTTTTTCTGCCAATCACCAATGGACTAAGCTTTCTCAGTAATCTCTGAAATTTCTTTAAATTAAATACTTAACAGCAGATAAACTGGATTGTTTTTGTTATAAGGCTGCTTCCACCTGAAATGCCATCATAAGAACAGGGCGGTTTCTCATTTACATGGTATTCTTAGGGGTAAAAATGCATCAGCTTATTTTATAAACTCTTGGACTATGTATTTGATATGTAAAAATGTAATTTGTTAACCATCTCTTAAATAAGTCTATAAATATTGTGTAATTTTCTTTGATCAGAAACATTTAGACTAAGTAGTACCACTTGGGTCAGAATTTTCTTCAGCGTTATTTATTTAGAAAAACCCAACTGTCTTTGGGCTACCTAATTAGCAAAAATTTGTACACCACAATAGTTTTCCCATGAAGAGTGTGAAATTTCACATGAGGAATTCTTCTGGAACCCAATTTAGCAAAATTAGAGGGGAAAGTTCTAAGGAAAGTTAAAAGAAAAAAACCGAACTTTCAGGCCTAAATAGTTGAATGTACTAAAGATAAATAATGTTTATGTAGTGG